GGAAAGATCAGATGGGGTGAAAAAAAAGAAAAAAATATGAGGTGGACTAGTTAGTTATTGTATTTACCATGCACAGTCTTTCTTTGCAGTAGGGCTGAGGAAATGACTGGCCAAATAAAAATAAGATCATTAAGACAACTGCAAATTGCCTCATTCTGTTGTTAAATAAACAATATCTCTGATGCATCCTCAGTTCTAGAAACTCTAACACTTACCTTACAACTCATTCAGGTGGCTTCACTCTAATACCTGAAATCTGAGACTTAATAGTGAATCATCTCTAAGTCTTTATAGCACGCAAAATCTGCTCATATTGACAATTATTCAGACAACATTATGAAAGCAGTACCATCATTCTGACCCAGGTAAGTGCTAGTGCTGCAGTTACAGCTTGCTATTTTATCCTCTGTTTAGAGTTTGTGGTCTTCTTCAGTTGATTACAGTACCTGCACCCCAAGAAGAGAAGCACAGCACTGTGTTTGTATCAGTAGCATTTCTTCAATCAGTTCCACGTGAGCAAGTCCTTGAAGCTATGAAGACCCTATACAGCACCGCAGTTTAAACAAAACCCAACATCAACTGGAGAATCCACATGTGAACCAGGTATCGTACTTAAAGCAAACAAACCCCCAAAACAAAAAAATTCCCAAACTCCTCTCAAAAGAAGGATGTCAAAGTGGAAGCTATTATGGCAAAGACATGTTTGCTAATGTTTTGGGTTTTTTTTTTTGATAACTCACATTACATGAATTTGTAGCTTTCATAGCTTATTGCAGCTCAGCAGTTTCCATCGTGAACAGAGTACCCTTTATCAGCATGTCTGGCTCAATATCTGAATTAATCTCATCTTCAGTGTTCGTGTATAACTCAGCCACAGACACTCCAGCCTAACTTTTATGTAGGCAACGAAATATGTCAGCAATGCAGGGATTTAGATAGTGGACAAAAAAAGATATTTAAGCAAAAGCTGTCTTTTTCTTAATCCTTATTTTTGGTATTATTAATGCAGAGCTCTTAATGTTCTTACTCTGAGAAGTTTATAAACTAAACAGAAATCTTTTCAGTATGTAAACAATGGGTATTAACTAGTCAATATTGGTAAAGTTTAAAGACCATGTGTATTACTGGAATCTATTTGTCTTCTCTTTTTCAGCTTATGTGCCCATTCCCTGACAAGTGTGGAAAATGCATGTAGCCTTTCAGAGAAACTGCTTGGAATGCAAACTGGTATATGCCAAAAACAATCCCACTGTATAATTTGGTATTCTGAATGCTATTTTTTGGTCAGTGAGCAAATGCGGTGTTTGAGAAGAACTCTCATGCGTACACAGAAAACATCCAACAAAGCAGAAAAAGTCATTTTCACGTCAACAAAACGATTATCTAGGAATATAAAAGTATGGAAGGCTCAAACTGGGCTAGCTGTGGCTGAAGAGCTTCCACATATTTGATATATCTGTGTGGAAACTAGCCTAAAATTTACGTCAAATTGTAAAATATGGATTTTTCAAAACACTGTTCAAAACCAAAGCAGATACTATGTTGTTTTCTTATTATAGAAGACTAAAAACTTGAAATTAAAATCTATAATGCCAACATATAATCAACTGACAACAGAAATCTCAATTGCACCAAAATCCAAGCTTTACTATGCGAATAAGGTATGAGGTGGCATTGCACTTGTCATCAGACAACTCGTCTGCAGAAGTTCACCCACCCAAGACTCGTGACTGCTATGGGACAGGACAGGGAGGGAACGATACCTGCTCGTACTGCTCCTCTATTAACCCTTGGAAATCTTTGTACCTCTTAGTGTCTCTGCAATTATCCCTTTATCAGATTTTTAGCTGGACTTTGAATTTACTTTTATCAATAACAATAAATCTCAGCAGTCTCCCTGGCAATGCAGGAAATATGGCACTGCTCTAGGAGGGCTCTATTATGGAAGCCCATAATTGCTGCACTAATCATTTATGAATGGCTCAGAACAGATAATTAATCTTTATGTCTCTCATTTCACGATCAGAAATTATGCTATTTTTACCTAAAATGGCTGCATCCTTTTGCAATTTGGTGGGTCTATTACAGCATAATACTAGGATATTTTCAGCACTGCCATTGAAAAACAATTTGTCATTTGCTTCATGAATCAGGCTCAAAGCCTGGGTTATTTTGAATATAATGACAGACTGAGTAACCTTTTACTTAAGCAGAATTTCATTCTGTGCTATGCACAAGGAATGTGTGTCACATACTCTGTATGAAAAGTCTTTGAATTGCAGAATCAAGAACCTGCGTGTCTCTTCCAATGTTCATTATCCACCTACATGCTCCTGTTTAAGTATTGAGGGAAAGGGAGCCAAATCCATCACTGATGCAACTGCATTAGCATCAGTGAAGTTTTCCAAAGGGTAAATA